GGGGGGGGGGGGGGGGTGGGGAGCGCCCCGTTACCGTAGATGACACGTGGTATCACAACCCCTATGGGCCGATTTTCCGAGCGAAATCATGCGCTCGGGAGCACAGAAGGTGGTTGCGGTACCGAAAAGTGGCGGCCTTGAAACCGTCTCATTTGGTTCCCACGCCCTCTTTTCCTCGAGAAAAAACAAGCTTTGAAAATGTGGTAACTTGGGGTGTGGTAACTTACGTCATGTACGGCGATAGCATCCCCCATCGGTGTTATCTACTGCTGTCTTCGTCGAGAGGCACCTGTCGAATGCATGGAGCCTAACTCGGCCGTTCTTGCCTAGGGAAATGCCAACCGCGTACAACATATGTCCAATCTGGAGGAGCTGGTAAGTAAATGTTGGGATGCGTTTTGTTGCAGATGAGCGTTGCAGAGCTCCCTCCAGGCCCTCGCACGCCGACCCACCATAAGGCTCAATACCCACCCTGAAGAAAACCCCTCGTCACGCGTACATTTCCTCACAACAAGCCATCCTGGGTTTTCCTCGTCTTGTTTGTGGACCGCAGACCACGCCCGCTCATTTTCCTCTCATATCCTTTTCCACATTGCATGTTGTTGTTCCTCAAAAACTCTACAGAGCCGCGAAAGGGAGACCTGGGTGAGGGTCAGCGAGCTCAGTCCCCGGGCGCTGCTGCTGTGGGTGAAGTGGAGGTCGCTCGCGAAGAGGGAGGCCGAGCTCGCGGAGGTCCGTCGAAGGCAGGGCCGGCGTCAGCGAGAGGAGAAGGAGAAGCACGGTGAGAGCGGGCTAGGCGAGGCCACCGGCCGGGAAGGGGTGGCTCACGACGCATGTTTTCGTCTTTTGTTTTCGTCTTTTGACCGCCGCTATCCCCCCGCCTCCTCTGTACGTAGTACGGTATACGGTGGCAAGTAAAAGGGGATCCGGTGGATGCGAGGACACTCCCTGTGGTTGTTTGGACTCGATCGCTCTTCGCTCCAGGGGGTATCTTGCCCCCCCCTTCCCCCCCCTTCCGTACGAACCTTCACCTTCACCCGTAGACTAGAAGTATGTGCATGTAATCCTAACTCTCCAGCTTGGCGGGCGAATTTCAGTTGCTATCGAACAGTGCGCACCCCAAAAACACACGACCAACTGCATATTTTTACCCCATCGACCGCTCACCCCCCACCCGTCTTGTAATCCGCGGTGCCCCCCCCCCAGAGCGAGCGCGGCAAGTTGTGCGACACCGCCAGGCCCGAGCGGAACACTTCAAGATGGCCTTTTACTCGATCCTTAAGGCTCACGAGACGGCTGTTGCGGGGCTGCTGGAGGAGGCGATGGCGATGGGGGCGGAGGCGCCGGACGCGTTACGGCTGGAGCAGGCGAGGAAGGGCGCGGTGGAGAAGCTGACGGCGAACTACGTCCGCCGCCAGGAGACCTCTGGGTAAGGTTTGGGGTTTTGTGGGTGCTTATGATTGTGTGTTGTTGTCGCTTGCTGTTGGACGTTCTTGTTGTTGTTGTTGTTGTTGTTGTTTTCGTTGTTGCTTGATGTTGTTGCTGTTGTTGTTTCTGCTTCTTTTTGACGTTGTTGTGATTGCTGTTGTTTGTTTTTGGGCGTTGCTGTTGTTGTTCCTGCTGTTGCCGTGGTCGTTGTTGTAGTCTTTTCCCGTGCTGTTACTTGTTTTGAGCCGGAGCATTGACTTGACATGTCAACGAGCGCTACGAAGGGGCATACTACGACTGATCTGGTTGTTTTGTTGTGTTTTCTGGTGGCTGTTCGTCGCTTTCGGGGGTGACGATTGCGGTGGCATTGACGGCCTTCGAATAAACGCTACGGGGTACCACGGTAGCTGTTGGAAAACGGTCCTTTTTTTGTTCCTTGTGTAGCTTTCGCGACCGATTTGTGACCGCGGGGTGATTCAGGAGCATATGGAAGAGGGGTTTCTCGAAAGGAAATGAGAATATGTGAAGACAACAACAGCCACACACCACGAGTTCCGCCAACATATTTTGCTTGACTGCTGTAGCGGCAATGTCCCAACCGTATACACGGCCAAAGCCCCCCCCCCCTGTCGCCTCTACCCTCCTCCGTTCTAGACTTCAGTGGGTTGGCGCTGTTGGCAAAGCGCTGTAAAACACGCCACCCCAAATATAGCCCCCATAGTATGCGCTACCAAAGACGCGTGACGCATGGACGAGCGGAGTGAGGATAGCTGTTTACGGAAACCTCACAGGTTGAGTGATTTAGGAGATTGCCGGACACAGACGTGTCGAGTGATTGTAGCTGTATTTTGAAACCTCAAGGGTTGAGTGAGGTTTGAGATTGCCAGACACATGGACGGGTTGAGTGGGGATAACTGCATACTAAAACCCCACGGGTTGAGTGATGTTGGAGTGCCGGACACATGGACGCGTTGAGTGAGGATAGACACATACCGAACCTCACAGGTGATTTGTGATGGAATTGCCGGACACAAAGACGTGTTGAGTGAGGATAGCTGCATACTGCAACCTCACAGATGGATTGGCTTTTGAGTTTGCCATACACACAAGACGCTTTGAGTGGGGATAGCTACACACTGAGACCTCACGAGTTGAGTGGTGTAGGATAGTGACAAGACACATAGACGCTTTGAGTAAGGATAGACACATACTGAGACCTCACGGGTTGAGTGGCGTTTGCGATTGCCGGACACATAGACGCATTGAGTGAAGAAAACTGCAATACTGAAACCTCACAGGTTGATTTGTATTGGAGATTGCCGGACACATAGACGCGTTGAGTAAAGATACCTGCATACTGACACCTCAAAGATGGATTGGTTGTTGAGTTTGCCAGACACAGTCTAGACGCGCTGCGTGGGGATAGCTACATACTGAAACCTCACGAGTTGAGTGATGTTGGATAGTGCCGGACACATAGACGCTTTGAGTGAGGAAAGACACATACTGAAACCTCACAGGTGATTTGTATTGGAGATTGCCAGACACATAGACGTGTTGAGTGAGGATAGCTGCATACTGCAACCTCACAGATGGATTGGCTTTTGAGTTTGCCATACACACAAGACGCTTTGAGTGGGGATAGCTACACACTGAGACCTCACGAGTTGAGTGGTGTAGGATAGTGACAAGACACATAGACGCTTTGAGTAAGGATAGACACATACTGAGACCTCACGGGTTGAGTGGCGTTTGCGATTGCCGGACACATAGACGCATTGAGTGAAGAAAACTGCAATACTGAAACCTCACAGGTTGATTTGTATTGGAGATTGCCGGACACATAGACGCGTTGAGTGAGGATAGCTGTATACTGAAAATCCATAGGAGCTATAGTGAGGGGATAATTCGAGAATGCAGTACACACCGACCCGACCCCCAACCCGTACCCGAACCCCACCTGAAAAATAGAGGCCATGCGCCCCCCCCCCCTCTACCTCCCCCAGAGGATGAGGAGGGTACAGTCCAAAGTAAGCCCAAGCTTACCTAAGGTTAATGCCTATTGGTACGGAGGGACTGCACTACCTGGCAAGGGGACAAGTAGGCAGAGAGCGTGAACACTTCCGGGTAAAATTGACCAAGGGAGACAGCCAAGAGTGCTTGTGGGTTGACATCGAGAAGCTGTCATTGTTTCTAGGGAACGTATACGTCCCACCGTCGTCGAAGAAAGTCGCAAGCAAGGCGCAGGAGAACTTTGGACAAATTGGGGAAGATGTCCAGAGATTAAGTAGGAAGGGAGAAATTGTCATGGTGGGCGATTTCAACTCCAGAGTAGGGAAAGCTTCCAGTAGAGGACAGGCGATCGGGCAGCACGGAGAAGACAAAGTGAATGACAACGGAGTGAGGATGCTTGAATTCTTGGGAAGCAACGAACTGATGGTGTTGAACGGTAGGAGGGAATGCGATAAGCCGGAGATCACCAGGCAGCGGGCAGTTTGCAATGAATACTCGAACCTCGACTACATCCTGGTAGATAGGGGGAGCATGCAGATCCCAGAGCTGCACGTAAGTGCGATAGATATAGGTTCGACCGACCACTTCCTCATATGGGCAAACATCGACCGATCTAGAAAGATCAAGAGTAAGAAACAGAGGAAAGTGTTCCGGTGGAAGGTAGAGCGTTTGGGAGACGATGGGACACGGGATGAATTCCAGAAGGGGCTGGCTGGTTGTGTAGAATCCTTCAGGAAAATGCTGAGAAGCGTCGAAGACGGACAGGTAGACGTACAAGCAGCAGTGGACAGGGTGATTGAAGGGTGGGAGTCCAAAGTGAACGCAAGGGCAGAGAGA